CCCAACAGTTCACCTATTTACCCTGACATCTGTCTTTAAAAAAGGGGATTCCATGATAAAAAGTATATCTGGATCTCTGTCCCGGTGGGTCTCAACCCCAAGGCACCCCTCTTCAGATCCAAGGCACCCTTGGGAAATGCCAGTTTTTAGTTTTCATTCTTCTTTTTTTGACTAGAGAAAAATACTAGATTAATTCTTCTGTTGAACTCAGAAAGCCCACAACAGGTCAGAATGATTTTAACATTATGGATTCCTATTTGAAACCTAGGTATATGTTGTGAATCAGTTTTGCACACTTAACAGTGCTAACATTGCATGGCACACTTGAAAGGATCTCAAGAGACCCAGGGTACCATGGCACCCTGGTTGAGAATCACTGCTCTACCATTTCAGGTCCATTTTTTTTCTTTGATTTTATTCAGTATTACTAGGTCCTGTGCTTCTGCTCAGCTACCTTAATGGCTTAGTTGATGGTCAGGTATTCAAGTCCTACAGAAAGATTTTAGTACTAAAGAGGCAAAAGGGGATGGACTGTTAGAAACATTATTATTCAAATTCAGGGTTGTATCGGGGGGGGGGGGGGGGGGGGGGTGGTCTCCAGTTTCTGGTGGTTTTTGTCCAGGTCAGAATAAAGGGCCTTGATGGAATTTCTCAAAAGCAGCTAATTTTTGAGTGGTCTTCTGTTGTAACCCATAGGCATGCTGAATGAGTAACCATATTGTTTGGACGTACATGTGCTTCTCAGTGGACAAATTCTGAAGTATGACTCTCTTTTTGTAGAGCAAGTAACTGCTTTTTACTTGTAACTGCAGTTCGCACTGCAGAGTAGGAGTTTTGAAGTGATGGGAGCCCAAGAAGGGTGGCTGTGCCTTAAGGAAATGATCCTTCGGGCACAAAGCAAGGCGATCCCCGAGCGAGGCAAAAGGGGGAGAGGGGCCAGGAGGGAAAGGGGCCAGGAGGCTTCCCTGGCTGACCAGAGAAATCCAGGGCAGCCTAAGGGACAAAAGGGGAGCACATAAAAAGTGGAAACAGGGAGAGATCACCAAAGACGAATATCCCTCCTCTGCTCGTGCTTGTAGGGAGGCAGTTAGACGGGCCAAAGCTGCCATGGAGCTGAGGATGGCAACCCAAGTAAAAGACAACAAGAAATTGTTTTTTAGATATATAGGGAGTAAAAGGAAGGCCCAGGGAGGAATAGGACCCCTACTAAATGGGCAGAAACAATTGGTGACGGACAGAGTGGACAAGGCTGAACTCCTCAACGAGTTCTTTGCCCCAGTGTTCCTAAGTTAGGGGCACGACAAGTCTCTCACTGGGGTTGTAGAGAGGCAGCAGCAAGGCGCCAGACTACCATGCGTAGACCCTGAGATGGTGCAGAGTCATTTGGAAGAACTGGATGCCTTTAAGTCGGCAGGCCTGGATGAGCTCCATCCGAGGGTGCTGAAGGCACTGGCCGACATCATTGCAGAGCCACTGGATGTTTGTTACCAATCTGATCTCTATTATTATTATTATTAATGAAGCCCTCTGTTAGAACACATCAGCTATGTCAAATTCTAGCTGGTAACATGACATACTTGGCACCCCTCAGATCCAGGTCTTGTGTGACAGCTTGTCTTACTGTAGTGCCTCCAAAATACAGAGCTGTATCCTCTGCTAGAATTCCACATTCAGTACAAGCATTTCCACCTTCCAAGGACATCCATAAATCTGGTTTAATTTCTTCATTGTCAAAGCGTTCCTTCAGGAAAGTCTGTAAAAAAAGTATGTAGCATTTGAGCAACAACTAGAAGAATCATCCTGCTCTACAGCCTTTTTAGCTAACCCAGTTATAATTTACTTTTGAAGTATGTTTGAAATGTTCATAAAAATAGTAAAGTGATTTTTTTCCTCTCAGGAGCTAAGGTCTACTGCCTTTGTACAGACAGTAAATTTTATTTAAATTATATCACCTGATTGCATCCATCAGATGCAAGACCTAGACAGGTTAGACCAGTGGGCAGAAAACAACAGAATGCAGTTCAACAAGGAGAAATGCAAAGTGCTGCACCTAGGGAGGAAAAATGTCCAGTACACCTACAGCCTAGGGAATGACCTGCTGGGTGGCACGGAATTGGAAAGGGACCTTGGAGTCCTAGTGGACTCCAAGATGAACATGAGTCGGCAGTGTGACGAAGCCATCAGAAAAGCCAATGGCACTT